TTCTAGGGTGAACAGAGCTGAAGATGTTAATTAAATTTTGTTGTGTTTCCTTGGTTACAATAACTCAGTAAAGCAGCACAAAAATACTTAAGTACTTAAATAAATCAGTGTTTACCTCACGGCACGTTGTCTTTAGAAAAAAATAATAGATAGCAACAGTTGTGCGTGCGTGTGCATGTGTGTGTATGTGTGTGAGAAAGTGTGTGTGTGCGCGCGTGTGTGTGTGTGTGTGTGTGTGTGTGTGTGTGTGTGTGTGTGTGTGTGTGTGTGTGTGTGTGTGTGTGTGTGTGTGTGTGTGAGGGAGAGCGAGAGACACCACCCAAAAAGACTCACTGAGTGTATATTTTCTCCCCCTCTCTGCCATCTTTGTGTATGAATTTTTAGCGAGGAGGAAACGATAGATGCAGACATTCCACAACCCATACACCCCCCATTCTCGCTCTATTTTGTTGCCATGGGAACCGAAGCAGACGGGAGACAGGTTCATATCGGCCTCCCTCAGGTCTCCAGTCACAGCTTCCTTGTGTGTGTGTGTGTGTGTGTGTGTGTGTGTGTGTGTGTGTGTGTGTGTGTGTGTGTGTGTGTGTGTGTGTGTGTGAGTGCGTGCGTGCGAGCTGGCTGTCAGAGCCGACTGCTCCTGTGTGGGCCACTGATACTCACTGATTAAAGGAAGTTATAATTTGATTTTCTCAGCAGGCGCCGTTTAATGGAGCAGTTTAACTAAAGCTGTGCCATCCCCAGGGCTTACAAAGCAGCGGAGAGAGGATGAATGAAAGAAAAAGGGAGACGGATAGATAGAGAGAGGAAGAGGAGTGAAAGAGGGAGGGAGAGTCACGCTAATCCCAAACACTGAACTCTCCCACTCGTTCTCTCCTTCTAATTCTGTTTGCCTGTTTTTGCCGTCTGTCTCCCGCTCTGCCCCTCGCTGTCTTCCTCTCTCTGTTTCTCGTCCTCAGCCTATTAATCTGTGCTCCTCTCTCCTCCTTCATTCCTTCCTCCCTCCTTTTAGTCAAGCAAACATGGGAGGGCTGGCTTCTCTATGTACAGGCTGTATTACTGGCCCATTGTGATAATAGCGTTTAATTATCCTCTCAGCAAAAATCAGCCCCATCACTCTGCCTCTTCCCCCACCACCTCCACCTCCACCCGTCTGTGGTGTGTCTAATACTTCCCCCTGCTGCATCCTTCTCCCCCCTCCGTGCATCCCCCTGCCACCACTCCCCCACCTTGTTCTCCAGCTATTTCAGACCCATTTAGCGGGATAAGCATCTTGAGAGAGACAGAGGGGTTTTTTGCTCTCTTTCACAGAGAAGCGAGGGCAGGATATGGAGACTGGCATCTCTGTGCCCGCCTCAGAATACCAAACAGGGGCCCGGGCATCTTAATATGCAGTGTGGGACAGAGGCTGAGATCAAAGGGAGGAACAGACAGACAGAGAGATGGGCTGGGGGGGTTGAGGGGAGCAGGTCTTCTCATTCCTCCTCATCTTTGCATCCCTTCCTCCGCATCATCGATGCTACCCTGCTCTCCTGCATCCCTCCTTTGACCCTACGGAAAAAAATCCACAGCTTAATTACCACATGTGTATGTATATGTGTGTGTGTGTGTGTGTGTGTCTGATTGGGGGGTGGGATCTACCGCCGCCACCTCCATCTCCTCAGTCAATTAAGATCGTGAGTAGCTGTCCCTGAAGCGGCGTCGACAGGCTAAATGAAAAGGCAGTGGATGTGAAATATGAATCATTAGAATACTGCAAGGACAGGCTGGAGGGGTGTGTGGGGGTGGGGGGTGATGGTGATGGGGAGGAGGGCCTGGCGAGGAGATAAGGAGGAAAAGGGATGGGAAAGAAAAGGAGAGGAAGAATGAGAGAGCAGATAATAAAAGATTAACGTCACGCCTCTCAGAGTGGTGGAATTTCAAAACCCTCCAGATCAAATTATTTATCCCTGTCTATAAAGGCAGAGGAAGAGGTGTGTGTGTGTGTGTGTGTGGGGAGCTGGTGGAGGGGAAGAAGGAAAAGAGAGGGGAAAAAAGAGAGATGAGGAGAGTGAAATGGAGAAGAATGCAAGACCTCTTTGATGACGAAGCTGACAGCAAAACAAATGTGTGTGTGTGTGTGTGTGTGTGTGTGTGTGTGTGTGTGTGTGTGTGTGTGTTTTCAGCGACAAGACAGAAGAGAGGAAGAGATGGGGAAAAGAAAAGTGCAGGCAGATGTCTGCATTGACTCTGTGGGGGGGCTCAGGGCTGTTTGCTGAGGAGGGAGACGTATAAAAGAGCGAAGGAGAGGAAAGAAACGAAGACGGAGGGAGACAGAGAGGGTGGGATTAAACGAAACCTGTTTCTCTTTGATTCTTCACTAATTTGCAGCAAGATGAAGAGCAATGGCGAACAAACCACCTACGCCGAACCAAATCACACACACAGCCACACACACACCCTTCTAACACTCCACGGAGTTCAGTTAGACACACACAGCCACATTCATCTGCAGTTCACTTCC